GGCTCGCTTGTTATGACTCCCACTGCACACTTTGTTGGAGGTGAGGCAACGCCTCCTGCAGTTCGGTCTAGTACCGGCTTGAGCTAAACAGAGCACCTGGGAGGATCTCCACCTACTGAGCTGTCGGAGGATGGGGAGTGTGGCTACTTGGTTTTCCTTCCTTCCTTTAAAATTTTACAGGCATACCCTGAGGAGTTGAAAAAAAATTTACTCTTTATTTTAAAGCTGTACACCTACTGGCCTACTAGATACTCCATCTAAAATGTATGCCAGTTTCCTTCTCGGTCAATTGCAAGCCTGTGTCTCTCATACCAACTTCCTAGTTTTCTTCCCAACTCTTGTTACATAAGCTTTAGAAAGCCATCTAAGGAGAAACACAAGCTTCTTCACATTGGTAACAGCCCCCCTCAGCCGTGGACGTTGGGGTGCTGAGAGGGATCCACATAAAGATCCTAGCACAGTGCCTGGCTTGTTGTCTGTACTCTGCAGAAGTCTGCTGTTCCCATGAGGCTCTTCTTGATGGATCACATAACAGTTTTTGGTTTAGCAAAGTTGTGATGCAGGATGGGTCCTTGCCCACTAGCCCCTTCTGTTGGATTTGTACCTTGGGGACTAATTTAACTTTAAAAAATTATGAAAAATTTCAAACATGCACAGGACAAGAGATACTAGTTATGATGAACCACCACCCAGATTCAATCCATTGCATGTGCCTCCTACCTCTAGGAGAGGAGAGAGAAGTGCTGTGGACAGGGTTTTACTTCAGTACCAGGACATCACTGCAATGGTTCTTATTAATGATTTTATTGCCAGAAAGTCCCCTAGGCTTAAAACAACCCAAACTTGGTTTGTTGCCAGGTTTGTTAGTCTGTAGATCGCTTGGAGACCTTACCAGAAAATGGCTTTCGTAAGAGCCCCCGCAGTAGGTGTTGAAGTACCCACTCACACCATTTTCAGATAAAAGTGATCTCTGCTGTGCTGCTAGGGACATGACCCCCAGCTTTTGAGGGCCGCTTGTTTTTCTGTCGGTGCAGACTTGGACTCTCCTGGGGAGTTCCTGCCCTGCCTCTGGATACTGCCTGGGCCTCCTCCCCGGGGGCCTGGTTAGGGTTCTGAGCTCTCATGAGCCACACTGGCCCTGCTTTGGGTACCACCCACTGATAAATCATGGGCCTGCCTCCACTGGTATCAGGGAATTGTTAGAGAGGATGACTTTGATCTCTGATGCATAATAGTGACCAAAAAATAGATCGTGAGAAATAAGCTTCTCAGGTTGTTTGAGAAGATACACAGCCATTTAATGCCGCCTTGTGGCAAGGGCCCCTTAGAACTGATGGAAGCTATGGGCTTTGTTCCTTAGAGAAATGCACATAACTTCATATAACCCATACAGCACCAGGAGATTCCCTAAACCCAGAGACATGTCCAGGGGCGAGCAGGTGAAGTCAGAATGAGCTGGAGATTAGGCAGCCGTACAGCACTCATTTTTGCCACCGTAGAATCGTTTTCAGTGAACTCTTTGCTGTGCTATGGCATCTGGGCCAGATAAGGTCTGACTTCGGGAACCTCATTATGGTTTTTACTGCAGGGCTGTTTTTAAAGACACTGATTGCTAGGACCCACACAAGAAGCTTACCATGGGTTTTGGGACCAGAAAGCTGTGCTTTCCTTATGAGCAAGTGGATCATTTTTACCCGATAGTCACTAAAGGGCTTAAGCTCTCAGATTTTCTTCTTTTATCCACTGAGGAGCTCAGACATGACTGGCAGGTGCAGAGTTGGGGCCCCTGCTCTTGGCCTCAGCTTCTCTTTTCCCTGCTCTGACTTCCCCTGCCCTGCTTTCCCCATGCATGTACATAGCAGGACAGGGCAGAGGGAGTCAACTCCTTTTGGGAAGGAGGTGGGGTTGGAAGGTCAGTGACCTCCCGCCTTCTCTAGCTTTCAGACCTGGCTCCAGTGCACCATGGCCAAGGTGGAGCAGGCTGCAGCCCGGCTGCCCAGCCTCAGCAACCGAGTCAGCTATGCCGTCCGCAAGGTCCACACCATTCGGGGTGGGTAGGGTGACTCCCAGATGCACCCTAGCCCTGCCCCTGCCCCACCAGCCCTCTCTCATCCCACCTTCATCCTCCTGCCTCCTTCTCACGGGTCCAAGCATCTTTTCCCCTTACTCCCTCATCTCCCCTTTTCTCCTCCACAAAGTTATCCTGCTGTAGCTCTCGGCCTTTTCTCCCCAGGCCTGATGGCTCGAAAACTGGCCCTTGCTCAGCTGCGCCAGGAGAGGTGAAGTTCCGGGCACTTTGAGGTGGATCAGGGAGGGGAGTGGGGCTTTAAGGTGTTTGTTGCTGGGACCCCTAACAGTGAGGACCGAGGAGGGATGACTTGAGGGTGAGGCAGGTGGGTGAGTTCCTCTGACTCTGTTTCTCCTCCTGTCTCAGCTGCCCTCCACCCCCACCGGCTATAGATGTGAGCCTGGAGTTAGAGCAGTTGCGGGAAGAACGGAACCGCCTGGATGCAGAACTGCAGCTGAGTGCCCACATCATCCAGCAGGAGGTGGGCCGGGCCCGGGAGCAAGGTACGCCTGGTCCTGACTCACTGAGCTCCCGCAGGGGCCAGAGTCTGGTGTGTTGGGGATGGAGAGAAACAGGCAAGAGCTGGCATCCAGGGCAAGGAGAGGCCTGAGTGAGCGCCTCCTCTTCCCAGGGGAGGCAGAGAGGCAGAAGCTGAACGAGGTCGCCCAGCAGCTGGAGCAGGAGCTGCAGCAGACCCAGGAGTCCCTGGCCAGTGTGGGGCTGCAGCTGGAAGCGGCTCGCCAGGGCCAGCAGGAGAGCACAGAGGAGGCCGCCAGTCTCCGGCAGGAGCTGACCCAGCAACAGGAGATCTATGGGCAAGGTGTGCACAGGGGAAATGGGCAAATCCATGGAGGGTGGGGTGGGAACCATGAACCAGGGCTCCCCCTGCCACACCCCATCTGCGCCTCACCCCAGCTCTGCAAGAGAGGGTGGCTGAAGTGGAAACTCGCCTGCGGGAACAGCTCTTAGAAACAGAAAGGAGACTGAACGAGGCTCGGCGGGAGCATGCCAAGGCCGGTGAGATTTGCTGGAGTGGATATGGGCTTCCAGGAAGAAGGCAGTATTGAGACATAAGGTTATTTAAAAAAAGTTTTTTAAAGCATGCAAATAATGAAGTTATCAAGACATGGCGCTGATGAATTCTCAGGTGGTGTACACACCCATATAGGTAGCACTCAGGTCAAGCAACAGCATGTGACCAGCCCTGGAGCCCCTGCCGGTCACTCCCCTCCACAAAGGCAACCACCGTCCCAACATCTCACACCCATGATTACCCCCGACTTTTTATTGAGAAGAACTTCCAACACCTAGACAAGTTCAGAAGAATCATGTAATGGATACTCATGCACCTTCTCTAACTAGATGCAGCAGTTACTAACCTTGTCACGTTCCTCTCTATCTATATACACACACACATCAATATGTACATTTTTTGGAATCATTTAAAGTAAGTTGCAAACATCAGCTGTGTCTCCCACAAAGAGGAAAATTTCCTGTGAAACCTCCATACCATTGTTACACTTTAAGAAAATGAACATTAATTGCACAAAATCTCATGTCCAGTCCATATTCAGATTTCTCCTAAGGGACTCCGGGAAGGTTTGGGCATGGGGAAGGTACTTTGGCTTCACCGATTCATAGGCTCCTAGAGCAGCAGCCCACCCTCCCACTGTACACAAGAGACTGAGAGCCACGGAGTGTAAGTGGCTTCCCCCCGTCACAGAGCTGGGGACCCAGCATTCTTGCCTGTCATTCCAGTCTTTTTTTCTGGTGCTTCACTGCCCCTGGGCTGCCCCACACCTGTCCCCTCTGTGCCCTGGCTTCCCTGCAGTGGTCTCCCTGCGTCAAATCCAGCGCAAAGCCGTCAGGGAAAAGGAGCGGAACCAGGAGCTCAGGCGCCTGCAGGATGAGGCCAGGAAGGAGGAGGGGCTGCGGCTGACACAGCGCCTGCAGGAGCTGGAGAGGGACAAGAACCTCATGCTGGTAGGGGACGGCAGAGACTGGGCCCTGGGGTTGGTTGGGGTGAGAGGTGTGGAAAGGGGAGGGGGAGGCTCTGCCTGGGTTAGGTGGCGTTTAACCCTCTCCTTCCCAGGCCACCTTGCAGCAGGAGGGTCTCCTCTCCCGTTACAAGCAGCAGCGACTCTTGGCAGTTCTTCCTTCCCTAATGGAGAAGGGGAAGTCTGTGGAGTCCAGCCCCAGGCCCCCAGAGTCTTCAGCACCTGCCCCTCCAGCAGCGGCATTCTCCACCAGGCAGGCCACGAAAGGTAATGGTCTAGGTAGGAGGAGACAAGTGGGGGGACTTCAGCAACCTCTCCTCCAGATACTTGAGGACATGAGCCTTGTTCTCTGTGACCCTTGGAGACCCCCAGCCTCTTGTATCCACGCCCACGTTGGACCAGAGAACCTTCTGCCTCAGAGAAGGTTACTCTGCACGGTAACCAAGACAGCCTTCTCTTGTCCGGCTCTTATCCGTTGGGGTCTTCTTTCCTAGGATCCCTCTGTGTCCTGCTCGATGACCTCCAGGGCCTGAGTGAGACCATTTGCAAAGAGCAAGCCATTCCTCAAGGAGACAACCAGAACTCTCCTGCTTCAGTCTGCTCCTGAGCAGCCGGATGCTCTGAGCACCTGGGAGCTTAAGGGGGTCCCAGAGATTTGTGGAGAAGTGGGGTGGGGGGTGGGGGGGACATCCCAGCCCTCTTCCCCATCCAGCTGCCCTCGTGGACACCAGCCATCAAGATGTCTGTGAATTCTCCTGTGGCTCAATAAAGATGACTATAGTAGGAGTCGTCGTTTGGACATGTTATCTCTGGGAATGTAAGGGAGATCTCTTCAGGGAAGTGTGAGAAGTGGTCCCATACACAGCTCTTTCTCTAGATGGTACCTCTTTCAAAAACCCCTTTCCTAGGCTGCTTGGGAAGGTTTTTTGAGAAGCTCCAGGTTTTCTTTATTTTCAACTTTTGTTTTAAATCTCTTTACCTCTGGAAGATGATCTTCCAGTGCCAGCGCAGAGGAAGATAAAACATTTACTCATTCAACGGGACTCTCAGAGCCAGGCAGTGTCCTAGGTCAGGGCTACAGTGGCAGCCGACAGACAGGTCCCTGCTCCCATGGCATGTCCATCCTAGTGGAAGAGACAGATGATGGACAAGTACCTAAATGAACGAACAAGAGCATTTCAGACAATAACAAGTGCTATGAAGAGAAAGCAAATTACAATGATGAGATAGAAACTGACTCTGTCGGGGCGGCATTAGATGAGGGGACAGGAAAGGCCTCTGAGGAGGGGACGTTGTGCTGAGATCTGAGTGGAGAGAGGAGCAAGCTGTGTGACCCCCTGGGAGAAGAGTTCCTGCAGAGGGCAGGAGGGAGAGTGATGGAGGGTGCTGCAGGGAGAGGCCTGGACCTGGCAGGGTTTGGGTTTTCTTCTAAGTCACTAGAACCCCCTTGGAGTATTTTTTAAACTGGGAAGCAGCCACACAATTGGATTTACATTTTTAAGAGACCCCGTGGCTGGCTGTGGAGGCTGTGTTTGGGTGTAGGGGAGGGATGCAGAGTGGGAGCAGGGAGACCAGTTAGGATGGCATTGCGGGAGGCTGGGCAGGGATGGCGCTCCAGGATGGGGCGCTCCAGGATGGGGTGGGGTGGCACAGGGGAGGAGAGGAATGAAGGCTGCACTGAGCCACAGAGGGAGAGGGGTGTCCCTCACCTTGGGGAACAACTTGGGAAGGAAGTGAGTTCTGTTTTGGACACATTACGTCTGAGAGGCTCATTAGACCTCCGGGCAGAGGAGCCCATCCTGAAGTTGTTCTCCAGGGGTCCCTGAGAGACTGACAAGACAGACTGAGACCTAAAGGATGGAGGGAGGGGGTGGGCACAGAGCATTGGCGTCAAGGACCAGGGGAGGGGGCCAGAGGGGCAGCGAGGAGGATTCCAGAGGGAAGAGGAAGAGGCTGAGATGACAGAGAGCTGAGGCAGCTTCTTCCTGGGCCTCCGGGCCGTGACATGGAGTGAGCTCAGGGGTGGGGAGAAGGAATCAGGATGTCCTCATAATTCCTTCCTTACCTGCAGTCACCCCAGGTGGCTCCTGATGAAACTCCTCAGATGTCACTGCTTGGGAGGCCCCCTGTGTGCCTAAAGAAGGGACGTGCTGGGGAGCAGCATGCCTGGGTCCTGAGAAGAGCAGAAGTTTCAGGGAAAGAACTGAGCCCTGATGGGGAGGGTTCAAAGTGGGGTGGAGGGGTGGGGGGTGCTCAGTGGGCTAGTGAGACTGTCCTAGTTACATCCCAGGTGTTCAAAGGGCGCAATTCTCCCCTCCCTCCTGCCGGCGTCCTGCCTCCTGGCCCGTGTAATTACACTGCTTCCCCACGCATGCCTTGCTCCCATTCCTTGGCTTCCAACGGCTTCGAGCAATGAAAGGTGGAAGTCCCTGTGATTACGGAGCTGATGCATGGGTATCGATTCCTGCAGGGTGTGTATGGAGGAGGATGTGAAAACAAGGGTGGGGTGACCAAGGGCTAGGTCAGTGATAGAGCCGGGGTGGCTGGGTCCTGAGCTGGGGGGCTGAAATGAGGGACGCCAGCCTCAGAGGTTACACACCAGCCGTGGCGTTCCAAACAGGTCTGACCAGTTAGGTTCTGATGGGATTCCTTGTGTCACTGGGCTGGCCCCTCCCCAGAGACTGGCCTCCTCCTCTCCCTCCTCTCCTATAAAGCCTCTTGGGGTTCACAGGCACCCAGACTCATCCCACCCCCGACTTTGGGGGTTCCGGAGATAGCCATGATGCTCAGCTGGAAGCTACTGGGGGTCCTGGTCCTTTGCCTGTATGCCGGAGGTGAGCTTGGAATGGAGGCCAGGAGTGCCATTTGGGGTGATGGGGGATGGTCAAGATGAGGTGAAGGTGACCACTAAGAAGGAAAGGGTGAGCTGGGTGCACAGGGATGGAGGATATTCTGAGAATTCATAAGGGGAAGAGTTGGGGGATGCAGGTGATGCGAGAAGGTGCATTCAGCTCAGAATAAATGTTTTGCTTGTTCAGGTGTAGTTCCATGTGGCAATTTAGATCAGAATTCAGATGTGAGGCAAGCATTCAGCTGAAGTCTGTGTTAAGGAGGGTAGAGGTCATTATAGGGGTGGGGTCTGGGTGTCACATGGGGCCAAGGGAGTAGACCACTTTGGGGCTGCAGACCAGCATAGGGCCATGCCAGTGGGTTGTCCCAACCAGGGCTGGATGGAGCTGATCTGGAGGGTCTGGTCAGTTTAACGTTGGTCAGGTTAATGGTTCAGGACAGAGTTTTCACGTCATTTTAAGAGCACATTGGTATTTTGTAAATGTGTGGAGAACTCTTTGAGAGTTACTTTTGAGGTCTGTTTGTGGGATCAGCTCACTGGGAATACAGGCCCCAGGGGCCTGTAACTGGGGTTGGGGGGTGGGGATCTGGCCTTCACCACCTTTTACCTTTCTCCTTCCTCCTTTATAGGCATCTCGGGCAGCGGAGACCACCCCTCTCCCCCACACACAGAGGCCCGAGAGGAGGAGGGCTCCCCACCATTGCCTCGGGGCCCCCCAATCCCTGGTGACCCCTGGCCAGGGGTACCCCCTGTCTTTGAGGACCCTCCACCTCCAGGCCCTAATCGTCCCTGGAGAGACCTGCCTGCATCTGGAGTCTGGCCTCCTGAGCCCCCCACAACTGATCCCCCTCAACCTCCCCGGCCTGACGACCCCTGGCCGGCAGGACCCCAGCCTCCAGAAAACCCCTGGCCGCCTGCCCCTGAGGTGGACCACAGATCTCAGGAGGAGCCAGACCTTGACCCACCCCGGGAAGAGTACAGATAACGCGATCCCCCAGAGGCGTCCTGGGCCTCCAGACAGAGTGCACCCAAGCCCATCTCTACCCTTCTCTTCTCCCCAGTTTAGCCTAACTCCTTATTCCCTTCCTCATTCCTTCAGTTTTATTCTGAACCCTGAAGGTGTCATTCCCAATGTTTTCTGAGATCCGTACTCCCTATGGATCCATATGGATCCCTTGAGATCCACATTCAGCCCCTACATTTCCCCTCCTTTTCGCTCTGACAGCCGAAGCACACACCCCTACCTCGTGTCCAGGCCTGTCCCACCTCCTGCTCCCTCCTCTTCCCCGTCCCTGAGACTCGGCGGGCAGCACCGTGTTCTCTGCTGCCACCTGGTGGTCTACAGTGGGAACTATCAGGAGACAGTGATGGTGGGTCCAAGAAATGGAAAAATAAAAACCACGTTTTCTTAATTTTGAATCTAGGCTGATTCTTTGCCAATATTCTTTCAATATTTGGATACTCTCCTCAGAACCACAAACCTACAGAGATCTGGAAGCAATGTGAGTTCCTGTCTTGCCCTCATGCATAAGGATGTGGAGCCCAGCAGGAGGAGGGTTGGAAATGTAACCATCAGAGTTACAAGGACATTCAGACTCACATTTCTCCCATTCTGGGACCCCTATTTTGAAGAATGAGAAACCAAGTTAAGTCTCTCTTTAAAAGCTTCTGGGGGCCGGCCCTGTGGCCAAGTGGTTAAGTTTGTGTGCTCCGCTTTGGCAGCCCAGGGCTTTGCTGGTTCGGATCCTGGGCGCAGACATGCCACCACTCATCAAGCTATGTTGAGAAGGTGTCCCACATAGCAGAGCCAGAGGCACTCACAACCAGCATATACAACTATGTACTGGGGGTCTTTGGGGAGAAGAAGAAGGAAAAAAAAGATTGGCAACAGAGGTTAGCCCAGGTGTTAATCTTTAAAAAAATATATATTAAAAAAAAAGCTTCTGGTTTGCATAGCCCTGCCTGAACATGAAAACTTTCCCAGGGCCATGTGGGCAGGACCAAGTTTTAAGAGGATCAATTTCCAGAAGTACACATGTCCCTTACTAAAATGAATCTCCCTGAGAACCATCTTCTCCTTTTCCGCCTGCCTCCTTAACACACCACCCTTCTCCCACTAGCAGAGAAAGACCGAGCTCTCTCGCCCACCCTGAACCGGACCAGCACGCTCTTCCTGGAGATGCCAAACAAGAGTCAATGGGAAATAAAAATCTGCCCTTTCTATCTCCTTAAAAGATGCATTTTCTGGGGCCGGTCCTGTGGCCCAGTGGTTAAGTTCACGGGCTCCTCTCTGGCGGCCCAGGGTTTCACTGGTTCGGATCCTGGGCGCAGACACGGCACTGCTCGTCAGGCCACGTTGAGGTGGCGTCCCACATGCCACAGCTAGAGGGACACACAACTAAAATATACAATTATGTACTGGGGGGATTTGGGGAGAAAAAGCAGGGAAAAAAATGCATTTTCAATAAAAGTTTACCTTTCCATTTAATCGTCATCAATATTTGTAGTTTTGATCAATTGTGAGTTGTAATAATTGTAATTATAAACCCACTGCAGAATAACTTTTTAACGCTTAAGAGTCTCATGGTCACCAGAACTAAATTTCAATTTATGTAGGATGTTTTTGTTATAAAGATATACTATAAAAGACTTTTCAAAAAATACAATAAAATACAAAAAAAGCGATACAATGAAAAAATATTAGGATTAAACTCTATATGGAAAGTGGAATGGAAAAGGGAACTAAAAAGAAAAAGAAAGGTAAATTCACTGACTGGTTGAGGGCTTGTTCACTTATTAAAATGGTCTTAATGGATAGGAAAGTGCTATGGTATTATGTTCCATCTGCCACGTTTAAAAGACTGATGTGACTTTTAATATGCAAGTATTTACAATTCCCTGGAAAGTATACCCTTTGCGATATTTAAACTTATGACTAAAAATGTTAGCTGTTGACTTAAAAATGTGTAAGGGGTACATAGTTTTTCACAATTCTTTAAGGGAGTATTTGAACAGGAAAGTTGGAAGGGCAGGAGTCCAGAGAGCCCAGTGGCCTAATGTCAATCAAGTGGCTGACCAGGGTGGGGGCTGGAGAGGGGCGAAAAGAAATTGAGGGTGTGTGACCTTAAAATTCACCCTTAAGACCCAGTTTTTTACGTGGTAACTCCGATCAGAACCTATACGTGACCAGCTTGGAAAAAACCCCCTAGGTTTAGATTTTAGAAATAATCTTAGAGCACATAAGAATTGTAGGGGTGAGCCTAGTAGAATTTAATAGGCCCCAAAGTGACTAGATTCACCATTCAGTCAGTCAGTATCTTATACCCTTAGTACGTCCACCAACGCCAGGGGCCATGGGAGACTATAAAGAATAAAAATACACACTTCTTACTCTCAGGAAGCTTAAAATTAGGCCAGCGGAGACAGGATTTACATGCAAACTTAATTACACGAGGAAGCACCAAAGTAATAACCTTGGCAGTAAACGCCATGAGTTAAGAAGAGAGTCACAGCGAGCTGCAACAGTCAGGGTAGACTTCCTGGAAGAGGGCCCGGGGCGGGTCGCGCCGCGGGGACGTGCCAGGAAGGGGCGGAGCCGGGGCGTCACGCGAAGGCGCAGGCGCAGAAGCTGCCGGGGCTGGCTCGCAGGGCTCTGCAGCCCCCGCGCCCACTCCTTTTACCACCGGGCGGTCGGTGGTGGTCGCCGCTGCAGGCCTCTGCCTCTGCGTGTAATGATCCCGCTGCCTGGAATGGCCTTCCTCTCCCCAACCAGATGTATTGCCCTTCAGTGACGCCTCTCCAGGCGCCGCTCCCCACCCGCACCTCCACCTCCTGCCCCCGCCACCGCGTCTTGCGGTGCTGCTGCTCCTCAACAAAACTCACATGGCAGTGATTTATTCCGGTCTGTCCTCCACTCCTAGACCCCAAGCCTCTTGGGGACAGCAATTGTTCTGCACATTTCTTCTCGGACCCCTTCACCATTTTTTGTGCCTACTGACTCCCAGGGTGCTCTCCCAACAGCCCACTGGTGCCTGGGGCTGACCGGACGTTGCCAGGTGCAGGAAATGCTGGAAGCACCTGGCAGTGTTCCCCTACGTCGTCACTCCCCCACCTCCCACTCCCCCAGCCCTTAATGGATGACTGACAAAGACGGGGGCATCAATACTCCTGTCCTCTGAGCCCAAGTTGCCCTCCACAAGTCAGCTTGGTTCCACACACTTGTTTGCCCTCCTTCCCTTCCAGGTCCCACTTCTCCTGCCCCCGTTCCCTCCTCCCCACCCTCATCACTTTACAATAAATCCCGTTTACCTGAATCTCTGTCTCAGCATCTGCTTTTGTGGAATCCGACCTCAGACACAGAGTGTGGTTTGCTGCAGGCCATTGCAGCCAGTTTTTACTGCGCACGTGCTGTATGGGCACTGTTGCCCAGTGCTAAGATTAAGCTCTCACTTAGTTTGCACAATAACCCCATTATTATCACCTTTTCTCAGAGGAGAAAAACAAAGCCTCACTGAAGAGAGGTACAATGACTCATGCAAGGGCACACAGGGACAGACGGCAAAACTGGGGTTTGATCTCGGGTCTCCAAGGTCTCTGATTTTAACCACTACATTATCCCATCTTTTTATTCATCTGTGTAGCCCTGACACACAATACAGTGCCTGGGCCTTCCTGGACACTTACTGGTTCTCCACAGAAACAACCAGTAGAATATACATATGGGGATTTCTTGTGGGAATTGGCTCTCGAGATTGTGGAGGCTGGGAATTCCCACAATCTGCCACGTGTAAGCTGGAGACCCAGGAAAGTCAGTGGAGTAATTTATTCGGAGCCTGAAGGCCTGAGAACTAGAGGAGCCGATGGCGTAGGTCCCAGGACAAGTTCAAAGGCCCAAGAATGAGGGGCTGATGGGTGTAAGTGCCAATGTGAGTCCAAAGGACAGAGAACCAGGAGCACCAATGTCGAAGTCAAAGGGCAGAAGAGAGATGTCCCAGCTCAAAGAGAGAGCAAATTCGCCCTTCCTCCACCTTTTTGCACTATTCAGCCCTCACAGGTAGGATGATGCCCACCTGCATTGGTGCGGGTGATCTTCTTTACTCAGTCTGCCAATCAAATGCTAATCTCTTCCAGCAACAGCCGCGCAGACACACCCAGAAACAATATTTTACCAGCTACCTGGGTACTCCTTAGGCCAGTCAAACTGACTTTCATAAAATTACCATCACATCGTGTTTTATGAATGGCTGAATTCATTAATGAATGGTGAATTTGGGCAACAGAGAGTAGATTGCAATGGTTAGAGTGAAGGGTTTATAACCTGGAGGAGAGGGAGATATTGTTGGACAGGTAGTTTGGGGGAAATTAGGGCAAGTGTTGGTGCCAGCCTCAGGAGCTCATGTCTGAAAGTCTTTCTCCTCTGATAGAACTGTGCCCAGTGGTGGGGAGGCACACACACATGTCTGGGGGTACTGTGACAGAAAGGTGTGGGATGGAAGGGAAGAAGGAAGTCTGGACCCTTCAAATTGACCCTCAGCAACCTCCCAAGCCACTGAGATGGAGTTCATTGGGAATGGAAAGAGAAAAAATACCCTTGGGGCCTGCCCAGTGGCATAGTGGTTAAGTTCACACACTCCACTTTGGCCACCAGGGGTTCACAGGTTGGGATCCCGAGCACAGACCTACACACTACTCATCAAGCCATGCTGTGGCAGTGCCCCACATACAAAATAGAGGAAGATTGGCACAGATGTTAGCTCAGGGCCAATCTTCCTCACCAAAAACAGAACAAAACAAACAAAACCCTTAAAGGAGAAAGCGAGGGAAAGGAACTGAGTCCCAGATGTGGCCCAGGCAAGGATCTAGGGCTCTTTACATCATGCTGTCTTACTTAATTTCCACAACATTATGTTGGTTTCCATGTCTTTCTCCCCTTGTAAAGTATGAGCTTCTTGAGGGCAGGGACTGTGCCCCGTCTGTCTTACTTCTGTCCTAGTACCTGCCCCAGAAGGTGTTCAATCAAGCAAATGATTAGCTCCATTTCACAGATGAGAAACTACTGCTGAGAGAGGTCTAACATATAACACGAGCGCCAAAGTTAAGACTGGATGCAGGACTGCTTGGCTCCAAACCAATTCTTCCCAGTCTGACACACAGGTGGGTGCGTGGGAGAGAGAAGGGGGAGCCATAAGGTAATTGGAGATTTTAATACCTATTAATAGGCAGCAGGTATCGGCACTCAAACAAGCTGTGTTTATTAGCTGGGGAGGAGACTGAGTGGGACTGGATGGTATTAACACAGGGGAACCCATTGTGCCAACTTATCCATTCAGTTTAGACAATGTGGATTCTTCCCCACCTGCCTTGGCTGACCTCACCTAGGGGTGAATGCAGTGGGGACACTGTTGCACCTTGTGTCAACAAGGAGTCATAGAATTAAATAATAGAATAGGATCACAGATTTAGAGAACAATAGCTCAGTACTGCAGACATGGAGGCAGTCAATAAATGCTTCCAATGAAATAAAAGAACCCAGAGCCTGTATTGCGGGATAATCTCATTACAGAAGCTGAGTTACCTTGAGAAAACATTGGCACAGCCCTCAGCCGTTGGGCAGGCGAATAATGTCTTTGGACTGGACAGAAGAGATGGTTGTCTGCTCTTCTTGGAAGCTCTCTAGGCAGAGACACTCCAAACCACTCATTGGCTCATCTGTTTGCCCATCCAGCAATCATTTATTGAGCATCAACTGTGTGGGGTGCCAGGTGATGGTGACAACCCCAAGAAGCAGTCTCAGTCCTCCCTGCCCTGCAGGAGCTCTGTGTCTAGGGAGGAAACAAAATGAGATAAAAGTTGATTAGAGAGGGGCACACCCTGAGGTGGGAGGCCAGGAGGGAGGTCCTAACTCCTCTGTCAATTGCATGTTTCAGATACCTTTGACGGAAGACTTGCCTTGGTATAAACATCAGCTCCCTTGCTATACATTTTCTCCCTCTAATCTTTAACTAAATGCCCACCAGCTGCCTGGCACTGGCTCAAAAGACTTGTTGAGTTAAACCAAATCCACCTCCTAAGATTTTTTTTCTCCCTAACATCCTCAAAGTGTCTATCAGCCCTTAGCCTTCCCTTTTGGAGCATAGTCTCAGCTCCTGTGATGGGGCAGACAAGATCGTATAACGGTGAGAGCATCCACCTGTGATCTAAGTCCTTGTCCCTAATCTGCCATCCATTCTCTGTAAGACTTTGGGATGTAACTTTACGGGATTTCTTTAATAATCTCTGTATTCCCACTGAACGCTGAGAGCCTGAATTCCTGGTGCACGTGTGTTCCATGCTCCACCACCAGAGGGCGGCCTAGAGACTCCTCTGAGGTGTTACCCTCTAGAGTCCTTGCTCTTTGCCTCTAACATCACCCACTCCCCGAGGCCTCTGTCAGGTGCCGCTAGTGCTCTCTTAGTCGCCAAGGTGACCTGTCTAAGGTGAGTCAGGCACGTGAAGTAAGTTGAGGCAGCCTCCAGGGCCCATAGGAAAATTCGGGCATAGCCACTTGGCCAAGTGGTCCCCATATTTACTATCTATTCTTTCTCTCCTTGATTATTTATTGAGTTCCTTCTATGAGCCAGGCAATGCTCTAGAGCTGTGGATACAGCAGTGAGTCAAGGAGAGGAGGGCTTACCTCTAGTGGGGGAAGTGAACAATAAGTAGATGCATATGGGATACATGTAATAGGATGTCATATCATGATAAGTGCGATGCAGAAAAATAAAGCAGAGGAAGGAAGTAGAGAGTAATGGTCCATGTGTGTGGGAGTGAGGGGGTTGATTTTAAATAGAAAAGTCAGGGAGGGCCTCTGAGGAGCTGGCAGATGACAAGAACTGAATGAAATGACAGTGAGCCAGGCTATGGGAATATCCAGGGAGAAGAGGAAAACCCAGCTTGGCACAGCATGTACAATGCAGCATCAGGATCCCAGGTAAAGTCCCCAGCTGGTAGTAGGCCTTGTTTTAACTCCCTGAACTTGCGTCTGCAGCTCCAAAAGACAAACAGTAATTTCTGTTTCCTAGGGTCACCGAGAGAATCAAGATACATCCCGCATGCGCCGATGTTTGTGGCGAGCTGATTGTCGTATACGGTCGGGGGGTCAGTGCTGCTCTCCGGTTCTAGTCCCTGGGTCCAAGAAAACAGGGCTGGACACAGGATGCCAGGCTCTCCAGTAGGATTCTGTGTTTACCAGTCCCCTCTGTGTGGGTGCTACATCAGATGCCAGGGACACACTGGGGGAGAGGAGAAGCTCCCCACCCGTAAGGAGCTCTCAGCCAGAGGGATTCAGACAGGCCAGAAGGAGAGAAGATGGGCCCACGCTGATCCCACCCCCAGAAACTGAGGGCCACACCCGGACTAGAAGTCTCTCCTGGTACAAGTCCTTCCAGCCTCTCCCGAAAGCACATTCCGACTGCACCCTGGCGCCTCCCTCTCACCCTCTCCTGCTCCTCCGTCCTCCGGATCGGGAAGGAAGCTGGGTCTCTAATTCTGGTGACCAGTAACAATAAAATGCATTAATAGCAACAGTGGAAAAAATGACTGTTTAATAGGTGAGCCTAACGAGCAGCCAATGAACCCTGGTTTCCCTGCAGTCCCTCCACAGAACAGAGAAGAGGAAAAATATTATTGTTACTCTGAGAGCTAATCACAGCCTCTGGATTCACCTCCTCACAAGACAAGCGGGGTGGTGGCCACGTCAGGTGTGACTTAAACAGAGATGTGAAGTCTTGGCACAAGAGCATGACCGTCGCTCAGCTGACTCCCTGCTGCTTGCATAAAGCGGGGGATGGGAAAAGAATAGGGGGCAGATAGCCTGGTGGGCAGAGCCCCCACCTGCCAAGTTCTTCCTCTACAGGATTCACTGCCTGGGGATGCCACTGGCTCTGACCCGGTCCTCACTCCCATGTGTGCCATGCGGTGCCCCAGGTCCCTTGGAGAGTGCCAGCAGGGCTGCTAAGAGGGTGAGGACAGGCTATGGGTAGAGCAAAAGTGGAGGCTGACTAGGCCAAATTCCAGGAGGTCAGTCCTAGAGGAGAGTGATGGACCGGGGAGCCAAGTGGAGAAGAAGGAGGTAGAGCTGAGTATAGTCCACAGCTTTGAATATATTCTGAGGAAGTAAAATATATTTTGACAGGGTGTGGACCGCTACCCAGAGCAGTGATTCTCAGCTAGGGTCAACATGCTATGCTGGCGTGGCAGCATTCCCTAAAAGAATCACCTAGGGAATTTTGAAAGAATACAGCTCTGTCCTACCCCACCCCCAGCATCGAATTAATGCCTTGTCCAGGGGGAAATCCCAGTACTTCCTCATCACGGCCATGTGAACTCTGGTGTTGTTAATGGAAATGTGCCGCATCCCTCAGAGAAAAGAGA